CGTCAACGTCCTGGTCCACAACGCGTTACAACCCAGGCTCAAGACCGCGTGATAGATTCCGCCCAGCGACTCGAACAGGTGCAGCAGTCGTCGGAAGACAAGGACCAGTAAGTGCCAACACCGTAAGACGTCGTCTAAGAGAAGTAGGACTCCGTGCACGACGACCTTATGTTGGAGCTATCCTCAGGGATCATCACCGTCGGCGGCGTTTGATATGGGCTCAAGGACACTAGCAAAGTGTGCTCTTCAGTGATGAGTGTCGCTTTCATCTTTATCACGATGATGGCCGTCAACGTGTGTGGAGACGTCTTGCAGACTGCTGCATCTTCAAAACAAATCGATGGGGTGGGAGAAGTGTAATGGTGTGGGGAGGCTTCACATTTCATCACCGGACCGCCCTACACATTTGCAGGGGTCGCGTTAATGCTGTAGCCTACCGTGATGATGTCTTGCAACCAATTGTTGTTCCGATGTTTCGAGCGCACCCACAACTTCAGCACTACCAACAGGATAATGCACGTCCGCATACCGCCCGTTTGAGTATGGACTATCTGGCTGCTAACAACATCAATGTCTTGGACTGGCCAGCCATGTCTCCGGAAATGGCACCGATAGAACATGTCTGGGATGACCCCAGATGCACACCGTTGCTGCTTTAGAAGCTGCTCTTGTCCAAGAATGGAACAATTTGCCCCAGGCCTTCTTTCAAACATTGGTAAATTCCATGCGACGTCGCTGCACAGCGTGCGTAAGAGCCCGTGGAGGACACACGCGCTACTGACATCTGTGTCGTACTTTTGGTTTTGACCCCTCTGACTTTGTACCGTTGATTACAGATTAAACATCCATATAAGTGTACAAATGTGTTGTTATTGATGTGTTCCCATTTGGATATTGTTCACAATAAGAAGCAAAATAAATAAGATATGTTTACAGGAGCATTTTGTTATACGAAAGACTAATTTATGCGTTTTCCATGGCGCTCAGTATATTTTCATCTTATTCTGCTCGTAATATTGGCGCAATCATTGATAGTTTTATGCTTATGGGAGCTTAAGTAAATAATATTTGTAAATTGTGCTATTTTAATATCAGAAATATAGGTAAAATAAGTAAATTTGTATTATGAAAAGAAGCTGAATATGATCGAAAGTAATCACACTTTCAATAAAAATGTAAACTTGCAAAATTCGAATCAAAATTGTCAAAATTGAGGCAATTTCACACGGTGTCTCTAAACTTTTGTTACATAAGTCGTACCTACATTTAAAGGCAACACGAAATTTTTAGGAGAATTCCCAGATTTCACAGGATACACGTCGATAGACAAATTAAATGCCAAAATGGAAAGAAATATCCCACATAGCTTTGTCAGAAAGTTTCAGCTCGATATATATTTGCCATTCGGAAGGTTTTATTTAACCTATTTATGGAGTACCAGTTTAAAATTTCATGCACGAATTTATAAATCTGGCGAAATGTGAAAATATCTTACACGAATAAATACTCTAGTGTTCCCCAAAAATAGTTTGTAAATTGTGATCTGTGTATAAAGGTTACAATGAATGATTTTATGACATCGCATAGGAGAGTGTGAGTCAAATTCAAATCAACATTGATAAATTTTGAAATTTAGTGAATACGTGTATACATAAGAACTGTTTATTATGAATTGAATAGAAATCGACTTGACACAAATATCAGGTTCATTTCATTGAGTGAGGAGAATTCAGATTGGCGAATTCATATGTATCACACTACCCCATTAAGTTAAAGACATAATTTACAATCATCCAATGGGTTTTTCATTCAATATATTTATTGAAATTATTTCAAAACAAACAAAAGCCTGCTTTTTCACTTGCAAACGCGTTTTAAAATTAGGATTTAGGGAGTGGTTCACAAATGACCAGGACATCCAAGCCTCTCGCAGCTAACCCATTGATAAAGGTGGTGGCTTCTATTAAGGGGATAAATAAATGAAATGGGTTTTTATTTCCTATAATTCAAGATATTAAGTGAAGTTGAAGAAATAATAAAATGTTCAGCGTTAAAATTATAAAACGATGCCTGGGGATTTAGAATGCCCATAAATGTTGTGACGATTGATTCATGGTGTTAATAGGTGTGACACTATAAAACTGAATGCTTCAGAACATAGCACAAAAACCGACACTATTTATAGACATTTTGAAAGATTATCAGACTGAAAATCTAAAGGTTCTATTCATACACAAGTGGGGTGTATGGGGACAGAAATTAACCTATTATGAAACATGTATTCATATGATAATTTCATAATATAATTCTTTATTGCAATGAATGCAAACTAAATGTACTTTTTATTACTACAGTGTACATATATTAAAGCTGTGTTCTCTATAAAATAAATAATCACAGACGACAACTTATCAGACCAATGTTCACCGAAAGCAAATTCGTCCATATAGACCCTAAAGTCAGACCACTCTTCTATATCACATGGTCGACTTTTAAGTTTCAAAGAGGCTTGGGGTTATAATTCTTAACGTCGATACTGCGATACATTTTTCCAGAAGGAAGAACCCTATCCACCTCCATTTAAGGAGATATCTTCCCGTTTACATTTAAAATTTTGAAATTTTATGAACGTGATACAGGAGGGGGTTTTAAAGGGCATTCATTAAAGCTCGGTGCGACTGCACATTAGTATAGAAAGTACAATCATGTCGAATTTCTAAATTTTCAGATTGCAAATAACGAAAGTATTTTGAGAAGATATCAGGTCACATTTTGAATCAGTGGGATTGTACGCGAAGATACCCTATCGAATATCCAAAACTAGATTATTTCCCTACACTAAAATAACTGTCCGCCATAGATTGTCACCAAATTTAACTGCACCCGCGAATGTATTGTAAAGTAAATAGTAAAGTTACGTAATCATTTTAAAAAATGTAATAACATATCTATTGAGATATGTGACGTCACAGCATCTATGATTGAAGCCAGTAGATTCGACATAGTAAGCTCTGCCTTTATATCAGGAACATTTTGGTGAAATTTTGGTATCCATCTATTTGTTTGCATACCCAATTATCGAAACACAATCGTTTCCAAATTCGTTACTGTTTTGGTTGTCACAAAACCATAACATATGGCACTCTTCGTGTTCATAGCAGAGCCTCTTTTAACGCTTGTGGGTGCACGTTGTGAGAATCCCATAGCAGGTATCACGGGATCCATATGGACCCCAGTTATAACTCGAAGGTTTTGAGTACAGATATATTTCAATTATCTGAAAAACAACTAAATTATTATCCAAAAACATTTGACATTTTAGTGACATGGAATAGATTTAATAATTCTCACAAAATTGCTACTTTGTGTACTATGTGATAAAGAGGTTAAATGGCAATTTCACGCTTGATACAAAAACCATTGAATATTTGGAATTCATCATTTAATTTTTGGTATTTGTAACATGCAGATGCTAAAAGAGATACTACTCTGGCATACGCAATAGGATATCAGGCAGCAAACACGTTATCAAACATCCCTACTGCGAGTTATCAGATAGGGGTTCATTGACCCCATGTTCCCTTCAAGCGTTGGACCTGATTTGCATATAACATAACTCTGCATGTAGGTAGCAGATGTAACACTATTTTAGTGATAACAGAGATCAGTTTAGCACATATAGGATTTATTTACATCGGAACAGAATATCAAACAGTTACAAAGATAAAACATGAACTAAACTACATCGGGAACTAGACTACGACAGGAACACATATAACAATATTAAATCCACCATTCCGCCCATCGGACAATACATAAGACTCGTGGTCATACATGCAATTGTTTCTTTTATCTCGTCATGGCATGCTTACTGACTAGTGCGTATCCTTTAAAGTAATGCGGGGCGTGTGCACAGATCATATGTAGTTTGTAAATGACATATGGGATTAATTATATAATTATTTAATTAGAACGTGACTAAACAGAAGTATATATATATATTATACAGAGTTGAAAAGTCAATATCACATATTATCAAAAACAGCTTAGGCCACTAAGTTCTATGCACCTAAATGATCGTTCAATTTGATAAAAGTTATAGACTATTTTGTAACACAGATGAATACCCATTTCTTGGCTACGTGTAAAACAATGTATATATAAAAAAATTCAGAAAGCAGTGCCCAGTAGTTATTACAAAACACTATAAAACAATGGGTCCACAGAGACCCAATGTGCACCGACAAGGGTTAACTAGTAAACTACGTTACAATTCTCCTACGTAGTGAGAGAATTTTTTGTAACAGTGATGAGCAAATTATCCATACTGGGTTACACGTATGTAGTGAGGTCGTGTTCAATAAATTTAGAATGAATTTCAGGACTAAAACTATTCACGGAGCCCCAAGCGCATTGGAGCGAGTAACCAGTCAATTTTGATTGGTTTCCGATCACTTTCACTTTGAAAAGTTGATTTATTTATTTATTTTTTTGGCACGATTTGTTTTGTTTTCGAGTTTTTCCCTGAAACATGCACGAGAAAGAGAAAGAAAAACCACGAAAGAAAAGGCTCAAGCAAATGTTACTGCCTTTCTCCATAAATAAAGTAAACCTAGTGAAAATAATAACGAAATTGACGATGGCACGATGGCATTAGTGCGGTAAAAAATAATAATACTAATAGTAATGTTACTCTTCCGGTGTTTCCTCAAGTGTCAAAAACCACTACTTGCTCTTTCTCTGCTAGTATTTCAAGAGGACATTTCGGTGTGATTTTTTTTACTGAAAATTTATAAGATTTTTACTGAAAATGTTTTGCCTAGTCAACCTCTTAGATATGTGCCAAAATGTTCTCGGAGGGGGGGGGGGGTGCGGACCTTATTAAAAGAGGCAATATCGTATCTGTTCGAAAGCTGCCGAGCAAAACGGCGGCTGTTTTGGTTGTAACAAAACCATAAAAATCTAACACTGTTCATCTTGGTCGACTATTCAATACGTTGATTCAATAACTGTTGAAAAAATTAAGAAACGGGATTACAGCTTTAATATACCCGCAAATGTTTTGGGCATGTCGGGATTGTTGATACCATAAAAAGATAAAACATTCAAACTGTTGGTTGAGAGTGCAGGAGCAACTTTACATACCCAAGGAAAATGAAGTGTGGATTATTTCTAACGATTTTGTTTGGTAAGTACTGGACAATAAATTTAATGATTATAAGACACTTTTTTATGTGTTGTTCCTTTAGACAATTTTCGTAAATAAGCTTGGAATTCTTATTAAAAAAGGTGGAAAATTAGTGATAATGATATAACAACATTATAAAAATGACTTAACTGGAGATGTTGCAATTAGCTGTCTGAATGAAATTAAATTTTTAGCGTACCAATGTTTTCTTTACCGAAAACGGCTAAAGAAGACAGGCATACGCCATACAGTGCGCAATGAGATATTTTACCAGGAAAACGGCGCTACGGCCTACTCTTGATTCGAATTCCAACTGTGACGGGTTCTTTTACGAGCACGTAATGTGTACACGGAACCTCGAGTTTTTGTCCCACCCGAACGGACTATACTTTGTCCCTTTCTAGGCCTTCATCCCTGCACCACTGACAAGCCGGAATCACACGGGAAAATCCCGATGAACTTGCTCGGCCAACACCAGGATCGAACCGAAACCCCCAGGTTTGCAAACTTAATTCAAAACGTGAAAATTTAGAGTATTCCCTTTGACCAAATCTCCGCCAACGTTTCAATGCCCCGGCATAATAGAAAACATATAGAGAGAATATACTACTGCATTAAATAAGAAATGTCGGTTATATGCATATATTGGAGCGGGAAAATTTAGGGTATTCCCCTTTGACCAAATCTTCGCCTACGTTCATAAGAGAAAAGTTATATAAACTCAACTGGTTGGATAATAATTTGCTAGAAAATAAAATGCGGCATAATTATAACTATTAAATACTTGATATTATTGTTGTCATATGTATTATAATAACGCCATTACTATATCATTATTAAATGCCCGATGATCCGCGTAGTGGGTGAAAGCGTTAGCTAAGATGAAATTATTTTTTTCTTTCTAAAAGCCTCATATTTCTATATACATTTTACCTGAGAGCAGAATATTTTATTAACTTTACATATATATATATATATATATATATATATATATATATATATATTTTATTATTTGCATTTTTTTTTTATCAAATATATGATTTTACTATTTACATACCTTGAGTGAATGCAAACTCGCGTATATCCAAACCAGTTTTTTGTATTAACTCTATTACTTATTACTTTGGAGTATCAGAGGATATTTAAAACATCGAAGTCACTTTTTTGTTGGCCTTTTAATTGGCCACAATAATCATTAATTTCCCCATTGACGCTAATGTTAATTTGACCGGCTCTAACTTTATCCCAAATTTTCTTGGGGTTAAACGCTTTCTACCACCGATGGAGCAACCTGTGGCAACGGCTTGCTCTAAAGTTTTTTTATGAGGTTCACCACTGAAATCTTAAGATACACAAACCGTAAACAACGTAACCAACGTAACTATGCAAGGCGTTGGAAAGACTACTAATATCTTTGGCGTTGGAATTAATGGTGTCATGTGTCCATTTAGCAGTCTATGCCGCAGAAGGATCTCAATCCCAGATCATGTGATTACGTTCTGTGGAAACTTCACCAGGGATTGAATCTTCCACTCTGAAGTCAAATGTCCATAAAATGAGCGAGATGTTCCAATGTCCCGAAATGTGTGCATAACCTCTGTAAGAATATGACAAATGCGCAGGTTCACAGACTCCATTCCAGATAACCCCGAAACAAAAATCCTCTCGAAATGTTCATGCTAATACAACTGTACTTGTAATCTGAACTAGTTCTATTAAAATAAATACGTTTCTTTTATTATAGGTATAAACTCCTACGGCATGACAGCCGCAGAGTGCAACGACACAGTGGCATCCACTTGCGAGGTTGAGGGTGGAAATTACACCAATAGCGAAGCTTGCAGGTAAAGTGAAAATAGTCATTCATATAATTGGGGTGTGAAATCGAAAAATCCAAAATAAGATAACTATGTAAAAGAAATTAAATGAGGTGGATGGTCCAACTTTTCTGCTCTATTCCGGGCTAATGAAAACTGAAATACGCCATAATACGGCAAGCAGTGTGCTATGAGGGAAATGGCAGCGAATCTGCGGCCCATTCTTATTCGAAATTGAACTGTCAAGGGTTATTTAACTTTCACACATACGTATTCACGGGACCGCGGTCTTTGGTTTGGTCACATCCGAACACCTATGACGCAACTGACAAGGGAAGGGGGAGGCGGGGCGCCGGTAAATCCCGATGAACACTGGGATCAAATTCAAAACCTCCAGGTTACCGACCGACTTCGGGTTCAACTATAGCCATTTAGATTTATCATTTAATGTTGCATTAACAATTTCGTTGGTTGCTCTTAAATCAACTATAGCGACTTAGATTTATCATTTAATGTTGCATTAGGGAGAGGGGTTTTACATAGGCTAAGCCGGTTCCCCAATCCCATTCAGACATCCTGAATAAAAATATTGTTTATAAAAAAAGAAAAACAGATTTGATTGGTTGTTCTTATATATTAAACTGTAAAATTTATTTTTAAAATCATAATATACACTTTAATCCTGCTAGTATAAATATTACAGGCGAAGCAAAATGTTTGCTATAGCCAAAAACATACAGATATAAATAGTATGCTGTAATTTATATATACATAGATAATAGTATACAATATATAACCCTCCTCCCACCTTTATATACTCTATTGTATACTCATATCACTGAAAAATAAATTCATATATAAATACATAATTAAATAATCCCATTCCAAATTATACAATACTGGATAAATTTATTTAAAAGTAATTGTAAAGTTTCCGGTTTCGTAGCTAAGAGGGTAGTATTGTCTGCAAAGAGTAATGAATATATAATGATATTTTCTAGGTGTATAAAATTTGTATCATCGTTGAATAAAAACTATCTTAGGTCGTTAATAAATATTAAAAATAAAAGCGGGGACAGTGATTCGCCTTGTTTAACTCCTGACATACTAAGAAATGACGTAGATAATTCGCCTTTAAACAGCTCACTTTACTGTACATTGATTTGATTATATTTACCATTTTAGAGCTTACACCGATTGAATTATGTTTATACAACTGATTTCTGTTTACTGTATCAAAAGCTTTACGCAGATCTATAAAAGCACAATATATTTTTTGGCGATTGTCTTATCCCATTAAGAATAAAAAGAGCATCAATTGTACTTTATCTTTTCTAAATCCAAACTGAGTTTCATCTAAATTATTATTGCTTTCGCACCAAGTGTACAGTCTATGATTTAGAATGATAGAAAAGATTTTTGAAAAAGTTGACATTATTGAAATTCCCCTATAGTTGTCCAGTATATTAAAATCACCTGCTTTGGGTACAGGAACTAATATGCTTTCTTGCCAGCATTCCGGATAACAACCACTATCATAAATTGAATTAAAATTGTAACCATAAGAGGCAATAGAATATCAATACTTTCAATAAACAATTCACTACATATTTGATCAATGCAGCTACTTTTATTTCTTTTCAATTTTTTATACGTCCACATTATGAATGTGGACGTATATTGCCGTCGCCCCTGTCTGTGTGTGTGTGTCGTCTACAGGCCACAATTCTTAAGTGATCATCTTCAAACTTCACATACTTATTCCTTATACCCTAAGGATGATCCCTATTGTTTTTGGTGCATGCCCGACCCAAAGGGGCAGAGCCACGCCCATTTTTTGTATTTCTTTGTTTGTCATCTACAGGCCGCATTTCTTAACGTATCATATTGAAACTTTGCATACTTATTCTTTGTACACTAAGGAACAACCCTATAGTTTGGGGTGCATGCCCTACCCCAGGGGCAGAGCCACGCCCATTTTCTTTTTGTGTGTCGGCTACAGGCCACAATTCTTAAGTTATCACCTTGAATCTTTACATACTTATTCCTTATACCCTAAGGATGATCCCTATTGTTTTTGGTGCATGCCCGATCCCCAAGGGCATAGCCACGCCCATTTCTTGTATTTGTTTGTCGTCTACAGGCCGTATTTCTTAACGCATCATCTCGAAACTTTGCATACTTATTCTTTGTACCCTAAGGAACATCCCTATCGTTTGGGATGCATGCCCAAACCCCAGGGGCAGAGCCAGGCCACAATTCTTAATTGATCATCTTGAAAAAATTCCATATGAATTCCTTATACCCTAAGGATGACCCCTATTGTTTTTGGTGCATGCCCGACCCCCAGTGGCAGAGCCCCGCCCATTTCTTGTATTCATTGTTTGCCATCTACAGACCGCATTTCTTAACGTATCACCTTGAAACTTTGCATACTTACTCATTCTATCCTAAGGAACACCCCTATTGTTTGTGGTGAATGCCCAGCCCCCAGGACCAGAGCCACACCCATTTTCTTTTTGTGTGTCTGTATGTCACTTACAGCCTGCAATGCTTAATCGATCTTCTTGAAAACTTTTTTATACTTATTCCTTATACCCTAAGGCTGACCTTGTGTGTCTGTGTGTCGCCTACAGGCCACAATTCTTAATTGAACATCTTGAAAAAATTTCATATGAATTCCTTATACCCTAAGGATGATCCCAAGTGTTTTTGGTGCATGTCCGACCCCCAGTGGCAGAGCCACGCCCATTTCTTGTATTCATTGTTTGTCATCTACAGACCGCATTTCTTAACGTATCACCTTGAAACTTTGCATATATACTCCTTCTATCCTAAGGAACATCCCTATTGTTTGTGGTGAATGCGCAGCCCCAAGGACCAGAGCCACACCCATTTTCTTTTTTTGTGTCTGTGTGCCACTTACAGCCTGCAATGCTTAATCGATCTTCTTGAAAACTTTTTTATACTTATTCCTTATACCCTGACCTCTATTATTTTTGGTGCATGCCCGACCCCCTGGGACAGAGTCACGCCCAAAATTTGTGTGCCTTTTGTGTCGCCCACAGGCCGCAATTCTTAACATTTCCTTTTGAAACTTTGCATATCTGTTCCTTTTCCCTAAGGATGCCCCATTTGTTTTTTTGGTGATTGCCCAACCCCCAGGGGCAGAGCCACACCCATTTTTTCTTTGTGTCTCTGTGAGTTGCCTACAGGCCACAATTCTTAATGGATTGTCTTTAAACTTGGGATATGTATTCCTTATAGCCTAAGGACGACAACTGCATGTCACGACCCCCAGGGGCAGAGCCATGCCCAATCTTTATGTTTATCGTTTACAGGCAAGAATTCTGAATGGATCAACTTGGTACTTGGCATATGTATTCTTCATAGCCTAAGGGCATCAACTATTGATTTTGGTGAATGCCCCGACCCCCAGGGGCAGAGCCAAGCTCAATTTTTGCCTTTAAGGCACAAAAGCCACAATTCTGAATGGATTATGTTGGCAATTGCTATACTTATTCCTTATACCCTAAGGACGACAACTATTGATGTTGTGATTTCAATAACAGGATGGTACCTATTTATATTGTTTCCATATCCAAACTCCACGGGCAAAGGCACACCCAGTTTTTGTATTTATCGTCTACAGGCTGCAATTTTGAATGGATCATCTTGGAACTTTGCATATTTATTCCTTATACCATAAAGACAGCAACAGGACGGTGGACATGGCAAAGGACAGTGTATAGTCGTTCGAATGGGCCGAAATACCAAGGTGTCATACATGTAAAAGAACCCTTGACAGTTATTCGGGCATAAATTCTCTCATGCTACAATGTATGGCGTATGTCCCTCTTCATTAGCCCAGTCGGTGCAGGCCTGTATTACATTACATCCCATTTAATTGCGTTTAAAAAGCCATACAAGGTAGACAAAAATATACTACCACCATGAATTGTGTGTGTACACTATTTTAAAACTTTACTGGATTTACAGTTCTGACAGCTGTAGAGAGATGAGCCCACTCCATTACACAAACCCTGATATTTGAGCAGAAACTGTTTAAAGCCCCTGGTAAGTGATCAGTTCAAAATAAGAATGTTATTAGTTATTAAAATTGTATTGTAGGTTGATTAGAAATTATAAAGCCTGTTTTGTAAATGCTGATTGCTTCAGTGGAAGTTACAAGTCTCATTTTGAAGAATATGTAAGGGACCACCCACATGTCGATTGTGGTGAGTACACATCTCCTTTTTTCTGCCTACCGTATTACAAACGCTGTTACATACCATTGAGTTCATGAATGGATTGCGATTATTCGAGAATTTGCCATTTAATTTGAGAATAAACATGCACATAAATAGGTTCAGTTTTTATTAGCACAGAGTTTATGCATACGGTAGAGCGCTCCACAGGCTATATTTGGAACTTATTTTAAAATATTTAAGACTTACCATTAAAAGCATCATTCATAAACAATTAAAGTATTGCTAAGTTGGATTGTTGTGTTATATAAACCTTTTTTTAACCTGTTCAAAAGTTGATCAGCACCTCGGGTGTTGCAGCGGGAGATTTTTTTGTCACCAAAAAGAGTTTATACCCTTGGTTACATTGAAATTTCAACTTTCGTCTTGTAACGAATACTTAATTAATTAGTGCAGCACTCGAAATTAACCACGAAATATGGCCTAACCGTGGTAAAAGCCGAAGGAAACACGAGCCGTTACAGCAAAACAGTTACCCATACGTTCACACTATCAAGAGTTTTTGTAATAAAAATGACTAGTTTGCTACGCAAAAATGCGATTCCTTTTATAAAGATAGTATTTAAACATCTCGGAATGGATTGTCAATCAGAATTTCTATATCACACTGTCTTCAACCTTAAGAATCCCAGGTAGATATTTAAATAATAATTGTGATCATACATTTGATGGTTTCGCTGATTAGTTGCTATATAGTTAAATGTACATAGTCATTCAAAAATCCCCTGGCAGAACACCGAATATCCCAATAAACAGTCATTATATAATATATTTCTCCAACACGATCTCTAGGGCGAATTACCGATGATGCGGAAAATGCATACCGTACAATAGCATACATCCGTTAAGCGACGGTTGGAATTAGACCGTGATGCAAGATTAAGTGTTTGCCGTTATTATTTAGTATTTCATTTACATTCCAGCGCAAGGCTCAATTTTCAAAAAACATTACAAGACTATGGCATTTTCAGTTAAACATACGGTTGGTTGTCACCTGATCGTGCCTGTTGGGAACACAAATAAATGGTAGATGGAAGGGAAACAGTTTACTGTTATAATTTAATATTTCATATACATGCTAGCGCAAAGGCACAATTTTATTCAAGCTTATGGCATTTTCAGTTACGCCTACGATTGTCATTCGATCGTGCCCGTTGGGAACACAAACAGTTTGAACAAATTTCTATAACTTTATATAACACTGTACTCGGTTGATTAGAGATATAACCAGCGGCTGCCAGGAATGATACGCCCACATTTCGCAAGAGATGGATAGAGAACAAGCTAATAACAAACGGGGATTTTTGTACAGTCAGGGGCAATAATCCAGAAAGGGACTGAGATCTTTGGGATATAAAAATATGTTTTAAGTTCCATCAAAATCGGATAAAAATTGTTACCCCTAGAGGGTCCACAAAATTCATATTGCATACTTTTACACAATTTGCGTACAAAGTGCGGCCATTTTGTCAGGCAGTTTCATTTCGATTTTCCCGAAATTCGAATTCAACCTTTACTATGGTGGAATGTTGATATATTTAAACGGTTGTTAAAATCGGAAAAAAACAATGTGCAACCTAAAAATGTGATTTTTCGAACAATCAGGAGCCATAATCCAGGAAGTTACGATCCGATATGGGCGAATATCAAAAGGAACCAAGATCGTTGGGTTATAAATATGTATACTATTCAAAAAAAGTAGGGGATATTTGATTTTTAAGTGTTATTAAAGTCACCTAATGAAACTGACGAAGAAACAAATGACAAAATGAAATGAAGTTCACATTCATCGATTTATTCCAAATGATCGTTAGACTAAGTAAGGCACAGACTGACCATTATAAGGGTAAAATGATACCCGGGGTCAAACAGCAAAGTTACCACAGCATCACAACCAAGTCAGTAACGGGTAAATCCTCCTCTGTTTGCCAAACAAGCATTGATCCGACGTGGCATACTCCTAATGAGACGTCTATGGTCATTTTGGTCCAGATTGTCCCATTCCTGTTGCAACGCAGCAGCAAGTTCTTGGACATTGGCAGGACGTTGTTGACGTTGACGTAACCTCTGTCCAAGCATGTCCCAGACATGCTCGATGGGGGAGAGGTCGGGACTCAGTGCTGGCCAAGGTAATGTGGAGATGTTCTGTTGTTGGAGGTAACCTGTAACGATCCTGGCCCTGTGACATCTTGCGTTGTCACCCTGGAAGATGAAACGGCGGCCATGACGTCGTGCGAACGGCACAACATGGACTGCCAAGATGTTGTCCCGGTAGTACTGGCCTGTAACACGCCCTGCAACAACATGTAAAGCCGTTCTTCCAGCAACAGTGATGCCTCCCCACACCATAACAGAACCACCCCCAAATCGATCATGTCTGATGACGTTAACGTCTTGGAAGCGCTCGTTTCGACGACGCCACACCCTCCTACGTCTGTCCAAAAAATCAACAGTGAACCTTGACTCATCTGAAAACATCACATTGCTCCAGCGTCGATTATCCCAGTGTTGACGATCCCTACACCAACGACGTCTTGCCTGAATGTGATGATCTCTCAAACAAGGGATCACGCGAGGACGTCGGGCGCGAAGGTGACCCCTATGCAGTTGATTCCGAATCGTCTGGCCACTCACTCTCACACCAGTGTCTGTTTGAAGACGAGCGCTGATCTGATTTGCTGTGATGACACGATTTCTCAAGGCCAAGGTACGGATAAATCGATCCTGGGCTTGAGTTGTCGCCCTTTGTCGACCTGAGCGTGGTCTGTCCTGTACAGATTGTGTATCACGGTATCTGGACCATAGCCTGCTTATGACAGACTGAGAAACATTCATCGTCCGCGCCACAACCGCCTGTGTTGTGCCGATCTGTAGCATGCCAAGGGCACGTAACCTTTCATTTTGGGTAAGCCGACGCATATCAAAATTTGTTTTCTGGTCACTAAAACAATTAAACTGATGTTTCCACCCTGAAATTCAATGCCACAATGACTGTAACATTCAAAGTCAGAGTCGTGCAAATCTTGGGTTGGACCCCCATGATGATCCCAAGCATCACCTGCATTCCAAGCGGAAGCTATTGGTGCGTTTGGGCGTCACATGTAACTGGAAATGTTTCTTCTGTTAGGTTCTATAGTGACTTTTTTCGTAGTCATTTGCATATTTTAGTATTATGCCCCCAAAATCAAATATCCCCTACTTTTTTTGAATAGTATATTTCAAGTTTCATCAAAATCAGATCAAAATTGTGACCTCTAGAGGGTACACAACCTTGATATACCAGATGTTATACACTATTTGCGGACGAGGGGCGGCCATTTTGTCCGACAATTTTGGTCCGATTTTCAAGAAATTCAATTTCATTAAACATTACGGTGTAAAGGTGATATATTCGAACGTTTTTTTTTAAATCGGATAATAATTGTGAATCAAGATGGATCACGAACTAAATAATGATTTTTCATACAATCAGGGGCCATAATTCAGGAAGTTACCATCCGATATGCCCGAATATCGAAAAGATCCAAGATCTTTGGGTTATAAAACATGCATTTCGAGTTTAATCAAAATCAGATCAAAATTGTGACCTGGAGAGGGTCCACAAATTGTGTACGAGGGGCGTCCATTTTGTCTAGCAGTTTTGGTCCGATTTTTATGAAATTCGAACTCAACCAACAATACCGTGTAACGGTGACATATTCGAATGTTTTTTTTTTAAATCAGATAATAGAGGGATCACAAGCTAAAACAGTCAAGGGCCATAATTCAGGAAGTTACGATGCGGTATGCGCAAATATCGACAGAAACGAAGATCTTTGGTTTATAAACATGTATTTCAAGTTTCATCAACATCAGATCAAAATTCTGAGCTCTAGAGGGTCTATAATTTTTACACTGTTTGCGTTCGAGGGGCGACCATTTTGTCCCGTCAGTTTTGGTCTGATTTTCACGAAATTTGAACAAAGCCGTCATTAAGGTGTAACGGTGATATATTCAAACGTTTTTCTTAAATCGGAATAAAATGGTGACTTCCATAGGGTCCGCAAGCTAAAAAACGTGATTTTTCGTACAATCAGGGGCCATAATTCAGGAAGTTACGGTTTGATATGCGCGAATATTGAAGGGAGCCGAGATCTTTGGGTTATAAATTTACATTTCAAATTTCAACAAAATCAGATCAAAATTGTGACCTCTATAGGGCCCACAAGCAGGGGCCATAATCCATAAAGTTACGGTCCGATACATGCCAATATCGAAAGGAACCGAGATCATAGGGAGATAAACCTATATTTCAAGTTTCTTTGAAATCGGTTAAAAATTGTGACCTGTTGAGTGTCCACAAACAATTGTGAGCGGACAGGAGTGACGACAATATACGTCCACATGAAAATGTGGGCGTATAAAACGCCGCTTCTAAAATCGTTGAAGTCATTTAATGATTTTGTCGAGAATATGTAGGCTACCTGTTCTACATTGATTCGAACTTGTCGAGAATTTATTCATAATGCCTATTACAAGGGGCAGGTAGGGTGAAAACAAAAATTAATATTTCATCTAGATGGCAAATAAAGTGTCCGAAATTTAATAAAAAAACACTGTTTTTAACTTTCTTGAATACCACGAATTTGTGGATTAAAGCATTTTGATTGGAGCCATTCTTACTTTATGGGACATTTTTCGGGCATCGATTATTATTTGTGAATGCAGCTTCGACAGTTTGATTGGATGGTTGGAATTGAAGTTGGCATAGAATAGGATTTCGGTTGCAAACAGATTGAAAACTTTGAAGTTGCTTAATTCACGGGCTCGAATAGCAGAAAAACGCAATGGCGGTTTTTAAATTTTCAAAATGTTCTCGGGAAGAGCTAATCCCCATACCCTGGAACGATTAATTGGAAACTTTGATGTTGCTTAAAGGAGAATACTATCGCAACAAGTTGTTTTAATATGAAAAATAACGTTAATATTAGAATATTTTTGGCCCTGAGAAATTTTAAAAGTCACTCTGAATAATTTTACAAAGGAAAAATATATCAAAATAAAAAACGAATTAACATTTATCCATATCTGCAGCCTCGTTTTGATTTTTTCCGTGATTGACGTCAGAGCATTTTCTGCTTGGGTAAGCATAGATAAGCACTTTGATTGGTCGAGACTTTGGAACACAATAACTCTCTTTTTAATTGAGGTAGAATATTCAAACTTGGCGTAGGCATTCATTAGGCGAATGTCTTGGTGGAGTTCGGTGATAGATATTGTCTGCATACTGTAAGCAGAGCTAAGCAATCTGATTGGTTAATGCTTTGGGTCACGATACCTTTGGTTATAATTAAGTGAGAGTGATGAAACTCCGAGTATAGATTCATTATATCATCACCTTGACTAAGTTCGATGATGAGAATTTTCCGCTTAAGCTAAGGAGCGATAAGCAATTTGATTGGTCAAGACTTTGGAACGTAACAACTCTGCTTTTAATTGTTGTAGAATGTTTAAACTTCATGTAGATATTCATTAGTTGAATATCTTGACTGAGTTCAATGATTAACATTTCGAGCTAAAGCTAAACTGGGCTAAACAATTTCATTGGTCGATGCTTTGGGACAAGAAAACTTTGATTCTATCTGATAGAGTGATGAAACTCGGTGTATAGTTAATAATCAGTTTGATTGCTTGATACTTTTGAAAAAAATAAATGTGCAATTAATTAATATGTGTCATCTATTTATTTTGGGATTTCGGCGCGGGACATCAGCCTCACTGTTGGCTTGTATTATATATTATTATATATTATTCAACAACAATCTGATTAGAATACAGATTTATATTTCGTTTCGTTTTTTATACTTTCGATGGCTTACACTACATGGAGATCTGACCAGTTTTACTGGAAGGTCGCGTCAGGGGTCGTACAATCGGCTTTTGACCCTATGACGTTAGACATTGATTAATCAATCAGCCTGACGTTTCTAGTGGTTTACTCACAGTTCCGTGCATGGAACGCCAAGAAGTCGCCGTAGCAGATGGTTTCATTGACTAATACCTCACGCTATCCAGAACTCATGTTATATAACAACTTTTCCAGATCCTAGTGTAGTACAGACAAATATAGTTTTGAACTATAAAAAACGAAACGAAATAGGATATGTGTTTTAATCAGATTGATTCAACAAGGAAGTTACTCAAATATATATTTTATTTTTAGACGTGCGACGGCGCCAAGGAGCATAAAAGGTCTAACTATTCATTTTATTCGTGCAATACACCCGTCTTAATGCTAGGCTCCATCTATCACCATCCGCGTAAAGAAGATATTTTTAAGGCCTTCACTGAAGAATAGGAGAATGAATAAGGTCACGACAAGAATGCCTATTATGGTCGAATGTTTGCCCGTGACTGAATTGTTTCCATTCGGGAATCTGTCATTAGAGATGCATCATTCATTAGCAGGTTTAGTTTTTATTAGCACACAAATTTAAATTTTATGCTGTGGACCGACCTACCATGGGCGAATCGCCCCGGTGATTTTACTATTTGAACTCTTTGGGTGAATACAAACGAGTGTATCCAAACCAGTTTTATTTACTATTTTGAAGAATCATGGGGTATTTAAAACACCGAAGTCACTCTTCCGTGATTCGATTTTTATTCGGCCTTGTGTGTGTTTGTGTCGTAGCAGGATCTCAAGTTTGATCATGTGATCATGTTCTGTAAAACAGCACCCGGGAGTGAATCTTCCACTCTAAAAACAAATTGCCATAAAATGAGTAAGAAGGGGTTCCGATTTCTTAAAATGTGTTCACACGAGTCCAGGTTCTAAATAACTGCTTTCAAGAGATGCTTCATAATCTCCGTTAGAGTATGAAAAACGCGCAGCTTCACAGACCCCAATCAAGGTCACCCCTAAACAAAAACCCATGTTCACCTCTCGAAAGTTTAAGGCGAATGTAATTGTACTTACCAATACCTGTATTCTGAACTAGTTCTATCAGAGTGTAATTAAAATAGGTACGTTTCTTTAATTTTAAGATACAAACTCTCCAGAGTGCAACACCACAGCGGTATTAACTTGTGGTATTGAAGCTGGAAGATACACCAATAGTGAATTTTGCAGGTAAAGTGAAAATAGTCATTCATATTATAATTAGGTTGTGAAATCAATAAATCCACAAATCCAGATAACTATATAAAGTAAATTAAATGAGGTTGATCGTTATGAAAGACCAAACAGAGCTTTATTCAGTTTTCTTAATTCATAGTCCTTAATTCTTATTTCTTAATTTGTTGTCGTATTTCGACATTTGTATGCTAAAATAAACATTTGCATCTTAAAATCAATATTTATTTTACGAATCCGGATCTGTCATTTTGTTTAATTTAATTGTATTTTAATGTAAAGATAAAATTTATTTTACGAAATCAAAACATTGCATTTACATTTCATCTGAAATCTCGAACAACAAATTTCCAAATACAAAACTTGCAAAACATTTGTCTAAAAACATTTCTCCAAATTCATCGAGCCTAAATGAACCTAGCATACAATAAGTCCCCATACAATAATGAGGAATCGCTCGATGGCCGTGACTTTAGTGAAATCAATTGCGTGGCTAATCAGTTGAGTTATGTTTATATACTAACTGTTGGGCTAATCCGAGCCATCAATAAATTACATAAATTGAGAGTAGTCTATTTTTAGTAATTAGATTTTTTTGATAGCGACATATTACTTTGCTCAAACGAAAGGGGATTCATCCCTTCCGAATTATATAATCATGAATGTGCCCCAGGAAATTACTAATACTCGTATATTCAAAGAGCGATAGAAAAATACATTCCTGTGATGCATTACACGATATCTTGAATTCCGTATTAATTAAGACGCGTATTTTGACTTTTAAATATTCCCCTCTCCCCTCACTAAACAGAGTTCAATACTCATAAGATTACGTATTATTGTATGTTGACTAATTGTATGTCAGATTGATTTCGTCTCACCGCAAGCTTTCCGGTTCGATGAATTTGGAGAAATGTTTTTTGACAAATGTTATGCAAGATTTGTATTTGGTAATTTGTAGTTCGAGATTTGTTTTTCATTGAATGTTTTGATTTTCTAAAATACATTTTATTTTTATATCAAAATACAATTAAGTTAAACAAAAAATACAATTTACAAATCTGATATGAAAAATGTCTGATTTAAAAAACAAAAACGAATATTGATTTTACGATACAAATGTTAATTTTAAGATACAAATTTTAATATTAAGATTCAACTGTTATTTTTATATAGTGTAGGCCTACACATGTCGAAATATGTCAATAAATGAAGAAATAAGAATTAAGTGCGATGAATTAAGAATTAAGAACACTGAATAAAGAGCTGTTTGGTCTTCCATAGGTCATCCAACTTGTCTGCTCCATCCGAGTTAGTGTAAACTGAAAAACGCAAAGAAATGTACTTTGAGGGACATTCTGTCCAACAGGCGTCGCGGCGGCCTGTTCTTATTAGACTCCTGTCAAAGGTTCTTTTACGTGCACGGGACTTTGGTCTTTAGTCTCATCCGAACTACAATATATTGCCCCTTGTCAGGCCCTCTGTGATTCAGCAATGACAAGGGGGAACCACGCAAGAAAGTCCAGATGAATTTTTTATTCCAACACCGGGATCAATCATGCGAGCCAAAGTCTTACTCGCTGAGCCACCGCGACTCCCATTGATTTATAAATGCCACATTTTATACCAAATGATTGCAATGTAAATTGGGATTTTCAACATTCCTAATCTGCAGAATTTGAGAGAATTAAACAGTGGTGCGTTTACGCGATCATGAAAACATAATGCATTGTCACATTTATTTTACAAATCTGATATGACAAATGTCTGATTTCTTTAAAAATATTGATTTTAAGATTCCAATTTTAATTTTAGTATACAAATGTCGAAATACAACATATGAAGAAATACGAATTAAGGACTATGAATTAAGAACCAAGAATTAATAAAACTGGATAAGGAGCTGTTAAGTCTTCTAACTGTGTATGAACGATATGTTTAAACTTTGCTGGATTTACACTTGGCCAGAATTCTGAGAGCTGAGCCCACTCCATAACAACCAACTCTGACATTTGAGCGGAAAATAAGAATCAAATTAATAATGTATTGCAGGTTGCTTAGAAATTATAAAGCCTGTTTGGTTAATGCTGATTGCTTCAGTGGAAGTTACAAGTCTGGTTTTGAAGAATATGTAAGGAACCACACACACTTCGATTGTGGCAAGTACACAGTTACATTGTATGCTCCACTACAATTAAAACGAAGCTTAGTATGAACTACTACGCCTTTAAAACTAGACTACATTATTGTTAATCCGGGACAATAACCATCTCGGTTTCAATCTATAGATATACCAAGAAAAGAAATATCTATTTTTTTACCAATTAATCCAGAAAAATAATTATTTCACATTTAATTAAAGGGACATTAGGTAAGCTTATATAAAGAGGTGACAGTTCTCGCTATAATAGTTAAAAAATAGATAATGGAAAGAAAATATACTGACAATTTCAGTCAAGTTGCTTCACTCTGAAAACTATATATTAGCCATTCAATTTTAGGCTAGCCTCGGTCGTCATTACTGCCCTTGTTACAATAATAAACAATGTCTCGGTCATCCATTTTTACGTTTATTCCATCCATCACAAAACATTCAAATCCACTAAATATCGCAGGCTAACGATGGCATCGAGAGCTGATTATGGTCTTGATAAGTTAATTAATGATTAATAATTTGACCAGTAATAGGCAGATTTAACTCTTGCATAATGTATGTTTAAGAATGGATGAAATGGATTATATTAAATACCCTACTTGTCTGTAACTAAAGGGCTAATGAAGACGACATTAAGAAAAATAAAATCATAGAATTCATCAAATGTTTTGATCAAGTTCGTAACACGCGTAAAGGAGGTACTATTTAAAGATTTCGTTGATAAATATTTTAATATTTAGATCATGTGATCATATTCTGCAAAACAGCACCCGGGAGTGAATCTTCCACAAATTGCCATAAAATGGGTGAGAGGGCGTTCAAATTTCTTAAAATGTGTTCAAACGAATACAAATTCTAAATAACTGCTTCAAGATATGACAAACGCGCAAGTTTACAGATCCGTATCCAGATCACCAAAAACCAATGTTCGCCTATCGAAAGTTTAAGGCGAACATAATTGTACTTATCAAAGCGTGTATTATGAACTAGTTTTATCAGAGTGTAATTAAAATAAATACGTTTCTTTAATTTGCAGAGTGCAACACCACCGCAGCATCAACTTGTGACTTTCAAGGTGGAAGAGCCAGCAATAGTGAATTTTGCAGGTAAAGTGAAAATAGTCATGCATAATGATTGGGTTGTAATCGAACAATCCACAAATCAGATAACTATATAAATGAAATTAAATGGGATTTATCTAATGAAGTCCAAGCAGTGTGCTTTGAGGGACATTTTGCCCGACAATGTCGAGGCGGCTTACTCTTATTCGAATTCCAACTGTCAAGGATTCTTTTACGTGGCTTTTGTCTCATCCGAACGACCATTTGTCCCTTGCCAGACCCTCTGTCCGGCATCACTGTCTAGGGGGAACCACGCCAGAAAATCCCGATGAACTTTTTCGGCCAATGCCGGGATCAATGCCGTTAAAGTCTTACTCACTGAGCCACTTACTAACATTTTATACCAAAAGGATTGCAATATAAATTGTGATTTTCAACATTCCTAATCTGTAGAAATGTTGGGAATTTTTTTGAGAGAGAATTGAACATTGGTGCGTTTACAAAATTTACAAATCTGATGTCTGATTTCTAAACAATATTGATTTTAAGATACACATTTTATTTTTAGTATACAAATGTCGAAATACAACAAATGAAGAAATAAGAATTAAGGACTATGAATTAAGAAAACTGGATAAAGAGCTGTTAGTTTTAACGGTGTATGAACAACATTTTTTTAAAACTTTGTTGGATTTACACTTGACCCGAATTCTGATACCCGCGCCCAACCCATTACAAATGAAGAAATAAGAATTAAGGACTATGAATTAAGAACGAAGAATTAAGAAAACTGGATAAAGAGCTGTTAGTTTTAACGGTGTATGAACAACATTTTTTTAAAACTTTGTTGGATTTACACTTGCCCCGAATTCTGATACCCGCGCCCAACCCATTACAAAAAAACTGATATCTGAGCGGAAAATAAGAATGTCATTAATAATGTATTGCAGATTGCTTGGAAATCATAAAGCCTGCTTGGTAAATGCTGATTGCTTCAGAGGAAGTTACAAGTCTCATTTTGAAGAATACGTAAGGAACCACACACATTTCGATTGTGGCAAGTACACATTTACTTTTTATGCCTATACTACAATTCAAAGGAGGCTTAGTATGAACTACTACGCCTTTAAAACTAGACTACATTATTATTAATCCGGGACAATAACCATCTCGGTTTCAATCTACATACATGTATACCAAGAAAAGAAATATCTATTTTTTACAACTTAAAATTGGAGTCATCCGATGGCATCGAGAGTTGATTATAGTTTTGGCAGGTTAATATTAAATGTCTAATTAATAATGTATATAACATTTAAGGCCCAAAGAAAGACCTGCAATATGCAGATTTAGCTCTTAAATGATGTTTGTTTAAGTAGGTTCAGATTTTATAAGCACACATAGTTGAAGCTGTGGACCACCCTACCTTTATGCGTATGGGTGAATCGCCGCGGTGATTTACCATCTGCACTCTTTGAATGGATTCAAACACAGTGTATCCAAACCAGTTTTTGTATTAACTTTTATTCATTTACTATTTACAAGAATCTTGGGATATTTAAAACATCGAAGTCATGCGTCCGGGTTTCAACTTTTATTCAATCTTGTCTGTGTCTGTGTCGTAACAGGATCTCAAGCTCGGATCATGTTTTAATGTTTTGTGAAACAGCACCCGGGGATGAATCTTACACTCTGAAGTCAAATGGCAATAGAGTGGTGAGAGGGCGTTCCCATTTCATAAAAGATTCCAAGTTCTAAGTAACTGTTAACGCGACATGCAAAAGCCCCGATCATAGACTTCGGTGCAACCTTCTTCATTAGCTGTTTTTTAAGAGATTATTCATAACATCCCTTGGAGTATGACAAACGCGCTGGATCACAGATCCCAGTCCAGATTACCCCGAAACAAAAGAACAACAAAAAAATATGTTCACCTCTCGAAAACCCATGTTCACCTCTCGAAAGTTTAAGGCGAATGTAATTGTACTTACCAATACCTGTATTCTGAACTAGTTCTATCAGAGTGTAATTAAAATAGGTACGTTTCTTTAATTTTAAGATACAAACTCTGCAGAGTGCAACACCACAGCGGCATTAACTTGTGGTATTGAAGCTGGAAGATACACCAATAGTGAATTTTGCAGGTAAAGTGAAAATAGTCATTCATATTATAATTAGGTTGTGAAATCAATAAATCCACAAATCCAGATAACTATATAAAGTAAATTAAATGAGGTTGATCGTTATGAAAGACCAAACAGAGCTTTATTCAGTTTTCTTAATTCATAGTCCTTAATTCTTATTTCTTAATTTGTTGTCGTATTTCGACATTTGTATGCTATAATAAACATTTGCATCTTAAAATCAATATTTATTTTACAAATCCGGATCTGTCATTTTGTTTAATTTAATTGTATTTTAATGTAAAGATAAAATTTATTTTACGAAATCAAAACATTGCATTTACATTTCATCTGAAATCTCGAACAACAAATTTCCAAATACAAAACTTGCAAAACATTTGTCTAAAAACATTTCTCCAAATTCATCGAGCCTAAATGAACCTAGCATACAATAAGTCCCCATACAATAATGAGGAATCGCTCGATGGCCGTGACTTTAGTGAAATCAATTGCGTGGCTAATCAGTTGAGTTATGTTTATATACTAACTGTTGGGCTAATCCGAGCCATCAATAAATTACATAAATTGAGAGTAGTCTATTTTTAGTAATTAGATTTTTTTGATAGCGACATATTACTTTGCTCAAACGAAAGGGGATTCATCCCTTCCGAATTATATAATCATGAATGTGCCCCAGGAAATTACTAATACTCGTATATTCAAAGAGCGATAGAAAAATACATTCCTGTGATGCATTACACGATATCTTGAATTCCGTATTAATTAAGACGCGTATTTTGACTTTTAAATATTCCCCCCTCCCCTCACTAAACAGAGTTCAATACTCATAAGATTACGTATTATTGTATGTTGACTAATTGTATGTCAGATTGATTTCGTCTCACCGCAAGCTTTCCGGTTCGATGAATTTGGAGAAATGTTTTTTGACAAATGTTTTGCAAGATTTGTATTTGGTAATTTGTAGTTCGAGATTTGTTTTTCATTGAATGTTTTGATTTTCTAAAATACATTTTATTTTCATATCAAAATACAATTAAGTTAAACAAAAAATACAATTTACAAATCTGATATGAAAAATGTCTGATTTAAAAAACAAAAACGAATATTGATTTTACGATACAAATGTTAATTTTAAGATACAAATTTTAATATTAAGATTCAACTGTTATTTTTATATAGTGTAGGCCTACACATGTCGAAATATGTCAATAAATGAAGAAATAAGAATTAAGTGCGATGAATTAAGAATTAAGAACACTGAATAAAGAGCTGTTTGGTCTTCCATAGGTCATCCAACTTGTCTGCTCCATCCGAGTTAGTGTAAATTGAAAAACGCAAAGAAATGTACTTTGAGGGACATTCTGTCCAACAGGCGTCGCGGCGGCCTGTTCTTATTAGGCTCCTGTCAAAGGTTCTTTTACGTGCACGGGACTTTGGTCTTTAGTCTCATCCGAACTACAATATATTGCCCCTTGTCAGGCCCTCTGTGATTCAGCAATGACAAGGGGGAACCACGCAAGAAAGTCCAGATGAATTTTTTATTCCAACACCGGGATCAATCATGCGAGCCAAAGTCTTACTCGCTGAGCCACCGCGACTCCCATTGATTTATAAATGCCACATTTTATACCAAATGATTGCAATGTAAATTGGGATTTTCAACATTCCTAATCTGCAGAATTTGAGAGAATTAAACAGTGGTGCGTTTACGCGATCATGAAAACATAATGCATTGTCACATTTATTTTACAAATCTGATATGACAAATGTCTGATTTCTTTAAAAATATTGATTTTAAGATTCCAATTTTAATTTTAGTATACAAATGTCGAAATACAACATATGAAGAAATACGAATTAAGGACTATGAATTAAGAACCAAGAATTAATAAAACTGGATAAGGAGCTGTTAAGTCTTCTAACTGTGTATGAACGATATGTTTAAACTTTGCTGGATTTACACTTGGCCAGAATTCTGAGAGCTGAGCCCACTCCATAACAACCAACTCTGACATTTGAGCGGAAAATAAGAATCAAATTAATAATGTATTGCAGGTTGCTTAGAAATTATAAAGCCTGTTTGGTTAATGCTGATTGCTTCAGTGGAAGTTACAAGTCTGGTTTTGAAGAATATGTAAGGAACCACACACACTTCGATTGTGGCAAGTACACAGTTACATTGTATGCTCCACTACAATTAAAACGAAGCTTAGTATGAACTACTACGCTTTTAAAACTAGACTACATTATTGTTAATCCGGGACAATAACCATCTCGGTTTCAATCTAGATATACCAAGAAAAGAAATATCTATTTTTTTACCAATTAATCCAGAAAAATAATTATTTCACATTTAATTAAAGGGACATTAGGTAAGCTTATATAAAGAGGTGACAGTTCTCGCTATAATAGTTAAAAAATAGATAATGGAAAGAAAATATACTGACAATTTCAGTCAAGTTGCTTCACTCTGAAAACTATATATTAGCCATTCAATTTTAGGCTAGCCTCGGTCGTCATTACTGCCCTTGTTACAATAATAAACAATGTCTCGGTTATCCATTTTTACGTTTATTCCATCCATCACAAAACATTCAAATCCACTAAATATCGCAGGCTAACGATGGCATCGAGAGCTGATTATGGTCTTGATAAGTTAATTAATGATTAATAATTTGACCAGTAATAGGCAGATTTAACTCTTGCATAATGTATGTTTAAGAATGGATGAAATGGATTATATTAAATACCCTACTTGTCTGTAACTAAAGGGCTAATGAAAACGACATTAAGAAAAATAAAATCATAGAATTCATCAAATGTTTTGATCAAGTTCGTAACACGCGTAAAGGAGGTACTATTTAAAGATTTCGTTGATAAATATTTTAATATTTAGATTTTTTAAGCGCGCACATTTGAAGCTGTGGACCACCCTGAATGCGGGCGAATCGCCCCAGCGATTTTACTCATTTGCACTCATTTTCTATTGTATTCAACCTTGGGCGTTTCTGTGTCGCAGCAAGATCTCAAGCTCGGATCATGTGATCATATTCTGCAAAACAGCACCCGGGAGTGAATCTTCCACAAATTGCCATAAAATGGGTGAGAGGGCGTTCAAATTTCTTAAAATGTGTTCAAACGAATACAAATTCTAAATAACTGCTTCAAGATATGACAAACGCGCAAGTTTACAGATCCGTATCCAGATCACCAAAAACCAATGTTCGCCTATCGAAAGTTTAAGGCGAACATAATTGTACTTATCAAAGCGTGTATTATGAACTAGTTTTATCAGAGTGTAATTAAAATAAATACGTTTCTTTAATTTGCAGAGTGCAACACCACCGCAGCATCAACTTGTGACTTTCAAGGTGGAAGAGCCAGCAATAGTGAATTTTGCAGGTAAAGTGAAAATAGTCATGCATAATGATTGGGTTGTAATCGAACAATCCACAAATCAGATAACTATATAAATGAAATTAAATGGGATTTATCTAATGAAGTCCAAGCAGTGTGCTTTGAGGGACATTTTGCCCGACAATGTCGAGGCGGCTTACTCTTATTCGAATTCCAACTGTCAAGGATTCTTTTACGTGGCTTTTGTCTCATCCGAACGACCATTTGTCCCTTGCCAGACCCTCTGTCCGGCATCACTGTCTAGGGGGAACCACGCCAGAAAATCCCGATGAACTTTTTCGGCCAATGCCGGGATCAATGCCGCTAAAGTCTTACTCACTGAGCCACTTACTAACATTTTATACCAAAAGGATTGAATATAAATTGTGATTTTCAACATTCCTAATCTGTAGAAATGTTGGGAATTTTTTTGAGAGAGAATTGAACATTGGTGCGTTTACAAAATTTACAAATCTGATGTCTGATTTCTAAACAATATTGATTTTAAGATACACATTTTATTTTTAGTATACAAATGTCGAAATACAACAAATGAAGAAATAAGAATTAAGGACTATGAATTAAGAACGAAGAATTAAGAAAACTGGATAAAGAGCTGTTAGTTTTAACGGTGTATGAACAACATTTTTTTAAAACTTTGTTGGATTTACACTTGACCCGAATTCTGATACCCGCGCCCAACCCATTACAAATGAAGAAATAAGAATTAAGGACTATGAATTAAGAACGAAGAATTAAGAAAACTGGATAAAGAGCTGTTAGTTTTAACGGTGTATGAACAACATTTTTTTAAAACTTTGTTGGATTTACACTTGACCCGAATTCTGATACCCGCGCCCAACCCATTACAAAAAAACTGATATCTGAGCGGAAAATAAGAATGTCATTAATAATGTATTGCAGATTGCTTGGAAATCATAAAGCCTGCTTGGTAAATGCTGATTGCTTCAGAGGAAGTTACAAGTCTCATTTTGAAGAATACGTAAGGAACCACACACAATTCGATTGTGGCAAGTACACATTTACTTTTTATGCCTATACTACAATTCAAAGGAGGCTTAGTATGAACTACTACGCCTTTAAAACTAGACTACATTATTATTAATCCGGGACAATAACCATCTCGGTTTCAATCTAGATACATGTATACCAAGAAAAGAAATATCTATTTTTTACAACTTAAAATTGGAGTCATCCGATGGCATCGAGAGTTGATTATAGTTTTGGCAGGTTAATATTAAATGTCTAATTAATAATGTATATAACATTTAAGGCCCAAAGAAAGACCTGCAATATGCAGATTTAGCTCTTAAATGATGTTTGTTTAAGTAGGTTCAGATTTTATAAGCACACATAGTTGAAGCTGTGGACCACCCTACCTTTATGCGTATGGGTGAATCGCCGCGGTGATTTACCATCTGCACTCTTTGAATGGATTCAAACACAGTGTATCCAAACCAGTTTTTGTATTAACTTTTATTCATTTACTATTTACAAGAATCTTGGGATATTTAAAACATCGAAGTCATGCGTCCGGGTTTCAACTTTTATTCAATCTTGTCTGTGTCTGTGTCGTAACAGAATCTCAAGCTCGGATCATGTTTTAATGTTTTGTGAAACAGCACCCGGGGATGAATCTTACACTCTGAAGTCAAATGGCAATAGAGTGGTGAGAGGGCGTTCCCATTTCATAAAACGATTCCAAGTTCTAAGTAACTGATAACGCGACATGCAAAAGCCGCGATCATAGACTTCGATGCAACCTTCTTCATTAGCTGTTTTTTAAGAGATTATTCATAACATCCCTTGGAGTATGACAAACGCGCTGGATCACAGATCCCAGTCCAGATTACCCCGAAACAAAACAACAACAAAAAAATATGTTCACCTCTCGAAATTTTAAGGCTAATCAATGGTACTTTATCAAAGCGTGTATTATGAACTAGTGATATTAAAATACATATATTTCTTTAATTATAGATATAATCTCTTCCAACACGGCAGCCCCAAGGTGCAAAACCATACTGGCATCGTTTTGTGATATTAAAGCTGGGACATACACCAATAGCGAAGCTTGCAAGTAAATTGAATAATATAGTCATTCATCTTATAATTCGGGTGGGGGGTTGGATGGCTGAATGGTTAGTGTGCGCGCGCTGTATCATAAAGTCTGTCTTTGAGTCGACTGGCGTGGTTTCGAATCCCCGGTTGTACGTGACAAGGAGTAGGGTTGTCTGTCCAACCTCGTGGGTTTTCTCCGGGTCCTCCGGTTTCCTCCCACTGCTGAAGACCCTACGCGCAAGCGAATTATTGAAATAAAATTAAGTCATATGTTAGTTTGTGTCGTGTGGACGTTAAACCCCATTTCTCTCTCTCTCTCTATAATTCGGGTGTGAAATCGAAAATCAGATAACTATATAAAAGAAATTAAATCAGGTTGATCGTCCAGCTTGTCTGTTCCACTCGAGTTTGTGTAGACTGGACTACGCCATGATACGTCAAGCAGTGTGTTATGACGGAAATGTTGCCCGACAGCGCCGCTGTGGCCTACTCTTATTTCGAGTTCCAACAGTCAATGGTTCTTATACTGTCAAATCATTCTTTCGATTCCCCGCTTGTGCGTGACAAGGAGTAGGGTCGCCTGTCCATCATCGTGGGTTTTCTCCAGGTCTTCGAGTTTCCTCCCACTACTGAAGACCCCTACGTGTAAGCGAATTAATGAAATAAAATTAAACCATATGTTAGTCTGGAATGACCTAGTTTGTGTCGAGTGGACGTTAAACTTCTTTTCATTTTATTTCATTTAAAAAGCCATGGTCAGTACAACTCCTGTAGTAGATCTCTGGATGACGTAACGTACCAAAGGGCACGAGAACCAGAGCCACTGGAAACAGGGACATTTTGAAGGGTGGTATTTAAATTTTCTAAAGCAATAACCGTAGAACGGTTACGAGTTTCTATTACAGGGGAAGTAATTCTTTAACTGTCTGCATTGTGGACTGATGCACTACTGAATATAATACCTCCATGAAATGTGGGCTAGATTTAATTGTGTGTGAACAATATTTATAAACTTGACTGGATTTACACTTGCCCCGAATTCTGACAGCTGTAGAGACAGGAGCCCACTCCATTTCAACAAACTCGGATATTTGTTTTTAGCTCCTTGTAAGTGCCCAGTTTAAAATAATAATGTTATTAATAATGTATTGCAGGCTGATTAGAAATTATAAAGCCTGTTTGATAAATGCTGATTGCTTCAGTGGAAGTTTCAAGTCTCATTTTGACGAATATGTAAGGAACCACCCACATGTCGATTGTGGTGAGTACACATCTACTTTTTATGCCTGCACTACAATTAACAAAAAAAAGATTAGTTGTCCTAAACTTGGTGCGAACTAATACGTCCTTCAAACTAGATTACATATTGTTAATCCGTTACTATAACGGTCTCGGTTTCAGTATTATAAACTCTTTTAATTACCAAGAAAGGAATTCTCATTTGTTTGCGATTTATGCCAACACAATAATTATGCCTTATTTGTATGCACCTATCGGGCTAATAAAGGCGACATTTAATTAAATAGGCATTAGGTCTTAAATATTATCTAAATTATTAATTAGACATTAATTAACTTACCAAGATCATAATCAACTCTAGATGTCATCGGATGGTTTTGATATTAAGTAGATTTAAATACGTTTTGATGATTTAACGTAAAAATGGATAACCGAGACTTTGTTTATTATCGTAACAACGGTAACAATGACACTCGAGGCTATACTGTATTGTATTCAACATATTCCTTTTTCATTATCTATTTTTTGAACTATTATAGCGAGAACTATCAGTTTATCTAATCTTACATAATGCCCCTTTAATAAAACACAATCAAATATCACCGGTAGCAAATCTTTCGACTTGGATTCAATCAGAATATGAAAAGGCCCATCAGAAGATTTTACAGAGGATGCCGAATGCTGACTAATTATTATTTAATCATACATTTGTAAATACTGAACCATTCTCAAATTGATATTCCTTTTAGAAATTAAACTTTCACTATATTGCAGTTTGAAAGGTATTACAAATCCTTTCAAACTATAGATAGCCTACTTTTGAAATTTTAACGTTTTCTTTTTCAGGAACAACTACTGGCACCGCTGGTGTAACTGCTGTCACCGCTGGCGTATCCGTTATGTTATCTGTAGTGATGACTGTTAAGAACTACCTTTAAGGATACAATTTTTCTTATGTATATCTGTATTTAAGGGAATAATCCTTAATGATTCAGTTTATTGCTATGACTCTTCCATGTATGTCGCTTAACAATATTACTGTTCACAATGATTTCTTTTAGCTTAGATACAAATATGGCGTTTACTGAAACGAAATGCGTTTATATATGACTCTTCCATGTATGTCGCTTAACAATATTACTGTTCACAATGATTTCTTTTAGCTTAGATACAAATATGGCGTTTACTGAAACGAAATGCGTTTATATATGTTTTTGAAGTGTGTCTCAAATGTGCTTTTTTCTAAAAAAAATAAATATTAATACTAAATTAAAAATTTCCCTTTTCTAAAAAAAAATTAAAATCGCAATCGTCAATATTTCGTCTCGTCAGACGTGTTTTCCTGGTACACTTTTGAAAACGAAATTGTTTTATTGAATACCCATTGGGTGTGTTTGGTTTTTAAATTCAATTTGTTTATTGCCACATGTACTTTATTATCTATTTTTATATAATAAACTTCTCTTTTACAAAAATTGTTGCTTTGTAACTGTACACCTATCAGAGTACAGTTGGCCCGGGGGGCGGGGGAGCTGGGGCAAGGACAAGCCAGTATGCTTTAGATCATATTATCTAATTATTATAGATGATATTTTAGATAATAATATTTTTAAGTAAAATTGTACCCTACGCTCGTCCCGAAATGACCAGCGTATACCTTCATTGTCGTGAATTTAATGCAAAAAGGCTCAGAGTAATTTGACTGAAATTTACAGCATATTCTCTTTTCATTTATCTTTTAATTTGGGAAAAGAGTTGGAGTCGGGCAAGTTGGAGACCAGAATTAACAATAAAATCCATAGGGAAATAAATGGTGGCTCGCATCCGTCTGGATTAAAACTGGTAAATGTTTCCCCTTATTTCACGAATTTAGTGCGAGTTCTAAACAGACAATTCTCTCCTCTTCCAGCAATTTTTGGTTGACTTTTTGGTTAGAATTGGAGAAAAGGGGTCACATTTCCAGTTTTGGGTAATACTGATAATATTACAGCGAAGACATACGGGGTGTAAAGTGTCTCTCTGCAGAGCAATCATTGTGTTGGAAGTAAGATTTTCACCCCAGTCAACATCAAATCCCCGTAGAAAAAAATCTAAATGGTCAAGTCCCTACAAAATTATGATGATGAGATTGCCAAATGTGGTCCTCATTGTACCTATAAAGATTGGAACCAACGTAATTTTGAGCAAAAAGCTACATCCTATGATGTTACAGCCATTTAACATTGAAGTCAATGGGCAAATATATTTTATTGCTAGTCTGAGTCCGTTTGTTCACAATTACTAGATTTAGGTTACCTCCCCTTATCCGATGATCGTCGATCACCGATGTTCATCGATGCCATTGCTCAGTTGAAATGAATTAGGGTTTAACGTCCTACTGTTTTGCTCCTTCTGAGCAAATTAAGACGGGAATACGTCATAAAGTATGCTATGAGAGACATTTTGCCTGAACAGCGACGCTACGGCCAACTCTTATATTGAATTTCATCTACCAAGGGAGCTTTTACGTGCACGCCAATGTGTACACGGGACCTCGTTTTTGTACCATCCGAACGACTATACACTGCCCCTTGCCAACAGGCCCTCTGTCCTCCACCACTCCGGAAAATTTCGATGAACTTTCTGTGCCAACTCATGGATCGAAGACAGGACCTCCAGGTTAGCGAACCAACGCCTTACTCAATGAGCCACCGTGGCTCCGTCTATTGCCCAAGAACGATCGTAACGTCTAATGACCTATCACAACTCATCATATTTCTCGTACATGATAACTTAAATCCATTCCACCATGTAGCTCAATGAACACAGAACAAACAGTAGCCAGGAATAGAAATTAAATAATCAAGCTGTTAGCAACGATAATATTTTGTATAGCTTTGGCTTTATTTTATTGTTATAATAATCAGTTAATAGCCAACTAATTCCCCCGTATGGATATTGATTAGGAAATGCCGATAATAATGGTAGATTACTTAAAGTATATATTCTTAAGACAACCCACTAGAAGGTTAGCCGATAACCAATGCAACGTGCCCTTCTCGACACATAAACACCATTCTTAGGGTAAGGAATTTAGTTTCGCTCCCCCAAACATCTATGTTACAAGGTGTAGTGCCAACTAAAATTTTGCCAAGAGATCATTTTCACAACATTGCATACTCCCGGGGTCGGGGTATCTGAAAAGATTGTGTCGGGTGTTGTGGTTGCTATCCCGTATCCTGGGTGGTTTACTGTAACACCTCATTAGGTATGATATAGTAGAGAAAGTGTCAGAGTGGATAATTTGTATTTGAACTGGCGATGTTATAACTCTTTATTAATGATGCGAAAAGTCCTTTTAAACAACACTGCAACATGTTCTAGTACAGAGTGGCAAATAAAGCGCCATGTCTGTTAGCAAATTATTTGGTATGAAATGCTTCTTTAAGCAGTATTAGCCGATTAAATCTTGATATTAGTGAGGTTCCAGTCTGATATAAATTGTGTTTTTCTGCTATGAGATTTTTCTAAAAGTTATACTGGAACATTATCCCATAGTGAATGTTTTTTTAAGACTGGCAGTTTCAATGTAAGGGACACCAGATGGTGCTACAGAACCATCTTTAAATTATGTCATTTATGTCTTATAACTACAAATATATGAAGACGTTTACAAAGCTTGAAGTTGTATTGCTACCAAGTACAAGGGTAATATGACAAGTGAAGATTTATCAATGAAACATAAGGTATATTCTATATAGCTTAAATTAATTGCATAAAATCTAAATAACGAGAGACAAAATTGGTTTCTAGAGAGGCTTCTACGTAACAATAAGTCTATACTAACCAGAATCATTTGTCGGTATTAATCATTTTTATTCATGCTAATTGTTGAATATGCACATTGATTTAGGCAGTCTAGGCGTTTAAGCTCCGGTACTTGCAATACTCTTGAATAAATCCCACTGTGTACCTCTATAACCCCACTTACTGTAAACGAGAGTTATCATGGTAACCAACAAATTTGTATTTAAGAAATGTGGATGTTTGTAGATTCAATAAATTTGCAGATAACCATAAAATAGGATATTTTAAATACATACACAGACTGGGTGTGTTTGGGGTTTACAATTGGGAAATGAAATGAAATGGGGTTTAACGTCCTACTGTTCTGCTCCTAACTGGGCTAATGAAGACGGGCTTACGCCATACAGTGTACTATAAAGGAAATTTTGCCCGGACAGCGGCACTACGGCCTACTCTTATATCGAATTCCAACATTCCAACTGTCAAGGGATATTTTACGTGCACGCCAATGTGTACACGGGACCTCGTTTTTTCGTTCCATCCGAACGACTAGACAGCTGTCCTTGTCAGGCCCTCCGTCCTGCATCACTGACAGGGGGTGTGGGGGGGGGGGGCACGCCGGAAAATCTGGATGAACTTTCTCGGCCAATGCAGGGATCGAACACCCGACCTCCAGGTTAGCGAGCCAGCCTCTTACCCACTTAGCCACCGTGACCCCCTTTATCAATTGGGAATTGTGTAGGTGATACAATAATGTTTTAGATATTAACTCCTTCCAAAGACGAGGCATGTTTGCCTTTTATAAATCGATAACAATATTGTTATTTTAAACAGTACAACGTATCTGATATCAGGGATGTGTTCCAGCCTAATTAAACAGCACTGGTACAGTATCTGGACGAGAGAGTCTCTTTGAACCGTATTCATTTATCTAACATCAACGAGGTTCCAGTCTCTTTAACTGGTACTGGTACATTATCTGATTGATGAAGGAGGGAAAAACACAGAATCAAATTAGCCATACAAATAATCGATACTCGGGAGATTCTATACGCCATTGTCAATAAAAGAAATGGGAGCTATTTACTTCCATTCTACAAGTTTGAGGTTATTAGATCTGACATGAGAGAACTTAATGTATAGAAGTAATTGTGGATCTTGTAAAAAAGCTTTTTACGAGGTAGAGTTTTGTAAAGATTTTGTTCATGACATCAGTCTGATTATGAGCAGATTTATCTCGGAGCAGTATTGTCAGATTTGAGCTCCTAGATCACATAAAGAGGCTATAAGAAAGGTCTGGTAGTCTTAGAACTTAAAGTGGAGATAGATCATCTTTGGGTTGTAAAGTGGTTATAGAGGTACATAGTATATAGTTATAAAACCACATTTTACATATTGTGTGTGTGTGTGTGGGGGGGGGGGGGGGGCTCGCTAACCTGAAGGTCCCTTTTTTGATCCATGCAATGGCCTAGAAAGTTCATCGGGATTTTCCGGCGTGGTTCCCCATTCTCAGTGGTGCAAGACGGCGGCCTCACAATAACAGATGTCTAGTCGTTCCGTTTGGATTAAAAACCAAGGTCCCGTGTATATATTGTCGTTCACGTAAATTAACCCTTGACAGTTGGTAATCCCTACATGGACAATAGCAACTAGCTCTTGATTCCGAGTGGTACCGAAACAACACATCCAGCCAACCAGCCAAATTACAAGTATACTTATCACATGCGAACGCCAGGGATGTTCATAATTTTGTCGGGCACTCTTAAAGTAATCTCGCGATTTGAAGATATCAGTGTTTCAAAACTCTTTAAGTGTGGATTGCTTGTGTTTCGTATTTCTCGAGTCACCTAACTGCAGGTCAAGACCTTTAATTAAACAAAATCACGTTTTAACACCAAGTGACCTGTCTCGTGGTGTTGACAGGTCACTGGTTAACCTTAGATTATTGTTGTACATTATGTACACTGGATAATCTAAGCTCTGTTGATATTTTCAATTAAAGCAAATACCTAGGGACAATGGACGACTTTAGATTTGTTGACATATCGTTTCGCATCATTTCCTTAAAATTAAACATCCAACCCTGGGGTCAAATGACAGTTGACGATTTGACAGTTTCTCAATAACTATGAGAAAAGTGATTCTGGCGCGAAAGTAACACTCGACCCCCCCCCCCCCCCCAGAAATCAATCATTAAATGAGTTGAATCGTCATTAGGGTTGATAGTCATATCATTTCTATACAAACAATTATCGGTTCCTGCAATGTCTCGTTTAGTTCACCGTATGTTTGGCACAATATAGCCCGGTTGGAGCCGACGTGCCATTAAACTCCATTTCATTTCATTCCATTTCCATTCCTACGGATCACCGTTTGCTTGTCAAATTGATTCCATTAAGTTTTTATGCACTTTTCAATTAACGCTAAAGCCGTTTTATTTTGGTTATCAAAGGCGTGTTGTTTTGTTTGAAAGATAACGCAAGGGATAGCGTGATCTAATCCAAATATTGAATTTGAAATTTGAATAAAGAGCTAAATATTATATTGTATTTTCACCATGGGTAATATGATTAGCGTAAAATATGATTTCATCAACATCGTGGCAGAATGAAATAATGTAATCACCGTGGATACACGTAGATGCATGACTAAAAGGGGATTAAGATGGCGCGGATCTATCACCATAGTG